TAATCTCACCTCGAATCATCTGACCCTACTTAGGTGTGGCGCTCCCAAAACTGGTTCTTCCGGGCCGGGCCGGGGATTTACCTCAGTGGTTCTGCCTCCTGCCTCACAAGCGCAAGGTCCCGAGTTCGATCCCTGGCACAAAAAAAAACCAAACAAAAAACAATGTTGGCATCCATTGTGTTCAAGTGAGGAGATTTAGAGTTTCTTTTTTTTTTTTTTTTTTTTTTTTTTTTGGTATCAAGGATCAAACTCAGGACTTTGGGCTTTCGAGGCAGGCATGGGCACCACGGAGAAAAATCCCCGGCCCTTCTTTTTCTTTTTTCATTTTGTTTTTTTGAGTCGGGTCTCACTGTGTAGTCTGGCCTTGAACTCACTATGTAGCCCAGGCTGGCCTCAGACTCACAGCAATCCTCCTGCTCCAGACTTCTAAGTCCTAAAACTACATGCAAGATCAAGATTTTCTTCTTTTCTAATTCTTGGATATTTTTAAAAGCATGTATTGTTTTTTATAATAAATTCATTCATCCATCAGGCAGAGACCACTTGCACAGATATTCTGTCAAGCTAACACCCAGTGCAGCCAGCATTTGGGATTAATGGCGAATGCAGAGAACTGTCGCTATTTACTGAGCGCTTAGCATGTGCCACTTCCGATTACGCCATGGGCTCGGCCTGTCAGATCTCACTTAATTCTCACCACGTGGGAGGTACCATCGCCAACTGCACTGGACAACTGGGAAAACGGAGGCTTGGGGTGGAATGTGACTCGACTCCCTGCCCCGGTTAGGACCCAATATTCCCAGGCAGTGGAGGGAGCCACTGTCCCCAGGGGCACAGGCACAGAGGTGGGCATCCTCACCTTCACGTGGTCTTTATGGAGGACCAATGTCATAACGCCGTTGGCACACACGGGCCGGATCATGGACAGGAGCAGGTGCAGGCTGCAGTTCTCCTTGGGTGGGGTGGTGGGGACGGGTGCAGGAGAGGTCTGTAGCCCGCCGCCTGTGGGACAGTCACTGAGTGCCCACAGTGCACTGGCACCAAGCTCTCACGGTTGCACATGGGACAATGAGGCTCGGGGTGGCTGGTGTCATTTGCCCAAGCTCACAGGGCGGTGTGCCTAGTGCAGGGGGGAGAGGATGGCAGGGGAAGGGGCTGGGGCTCACCGCAGCTGGCCCGCAGGGAGATGTCACTGGCCACAGGGAGATCCACAAAGGAGGCCACGATGCTGGCATTGAGCATGCGGGCCTTTCCCAGCAGGCCTTGCAGGGTCTCTGGGAGTGGGGAGCCAGGTATGTGTTTCTCTGGGAAGATCTTGAAGGAGTATCCACCCGTGGTCTAAAGGCAGGGCGGCAGAGCAGGGGTCTCAGACATATTTTCCCCACCTCTCCACCCTTCCCTCATCTCCTGGCTCCTGATTGTCCTTCAACTCTACACAAGGGTCACCTCTCCCAGAGTTGGCCTTGACCCACGGGGCTGGGTCAAGGGGGCTCCCTGTTGGATCAGGGAAGCCTTCCTGGAGGAGGTGGCTGCTAAGTGAAGGTCTGGAGTAGATGGAGGACAGAAAGCGCTGGAGACAGAAGGACCGTGGTGCCTAAAGTCTCAGGCCAGGGGTGTTGGAGCCGGCGGGTGGCCTGATGGTGGAGGCTGGGGGCTGGGCTGTCCGTTGCTCGGTGCCACACTCACCCAGACCTGCACGTTATGGTTGGCATCGATGATCCAGGACACGTAGGGCGGAGTCTGCAGGATGAGCACAGCATCGGGATCCCCAACCGTGCAGCTCAGTTCTACCTTCAAGGTCACTGTCCGGGGCCTGGGATGACACAGGTGGGAGGGTCAGCGCAGGTGGGAACGCGGGCTTGGCTGGGTCCGATGGGGACGGGCAGGGCGGACGAGGTGGCCTGGCACAGGGTGGGCGGCGGCTGGGCTCTTACCTGGCCAGGTGTGGTTTATGGGACTGGAGTCACTGACAGGAGACCCCGTTGGGGGCGTGGCATGAGTGGGTGGGGGTGGGTAGCGGGGAGTGAAAGGGCGGGGCCTGGCGCGGGGCGGGGCGGGCACACTTACTCGACATTATTGGGCCCCGGCCGGAGCCGCAGGATGTGCGCTTCCTTGTGGCCGGCTACGCCTTCCAAGCGACAGCCCTGGACCGAGGCGGGGGCTCGCGGGCGCCATTCAAGCGTGCGGCCCATGTCTTGGTGGGCTTCTGGCAGGCAGAAGGACGTTGACTTCGGGGCTGCGGAGACAGGCGCACCTCAGTGCCCGCCCCAAGCAGCCTGGCACTAACAAGAGCCCTACCTGCACCCACAGATGGAAGCAGCAGTCGGGGGGCACATGGGATGGGGGCGTCGAGGGCCGGCTGCGTGACCCTGCACAAGTCCCCGCCCTGGTTTTCTCATCCATGACTGGGGTTAATATAAGAGACGAGCCTGTGCGGCTGGTGTTGGGGATGCAACCCCGCCACAACCCACAGCTGACAGCGCTGAGCTGAACGCATCACCACGTCAGCTGCAGGCAGTGCCTTCAGAATCCCCAGTGCCTCGCATAGGGCCCGGCACAACAAATGATAGGGAGGTGCTGGAGTTAGGTAAGAAATCTTTCACACGGTTCAGCTGATGTTTGGGGAAAGACTAATCATGGCACCAATGCTATGTGTAACCAGGCAAATCACACCCCACTGTGGGCCCTTACTGCCTGCGTATGAGGCGTGAGCCAGAGAAGCCGGAGAGCCACTGCGGATGCTGACCTTGGCCTGGCTGGAGGAGGATGCTGCTGGGGTCATCCAGTGAGGCCACCAAGGCGATGGGGCCCTTTGTCGCTGCCCAGTCAAGGATCTTGGTTTTGGTAGTAAACGGTGGCAGCTGAGTGACGCTGACTTCTGGGGGGTCTTGGAAGATGACCAGGCTGGCATTCTGCAGAGACACGGGAGGCTTAGGGTGCCGTTCTCTGGCTGAATCCCTTCTGTCCTGTGCAGGGCCCAGGTCGTAGCTGGCCAGGGCCAAAAAGGCCACCTCTGCCTCGGCCGCATCTGCACTGGCTCCGTCCTTTCTCAGGGGGCCATGAGGGATGCATCCTTGTTCACCCGCCCATTCCAACATCACCCCGCTGTGGTTGTATCCACTCAGCCCACATCAGTGACACCACGTGGCTACTGTCTCCCTCTCTGTACCCTGAGGTCTATGAGGGACAAACAGCTTCACCCTGACAGATGGCACGTGGTGGGGGCTCCCTGTGCATGGAAAGGGAGGAAGGGAGGAAAAAGAAATGGATGAATGACACGTTGGTTCCTGCCCTGAGAGATCTCACCATTCAGAAAATCAGACATGCTCAAGTCCTTGAGGCAACAGAGGGCAGGGGTGTTATTTAAGGAGAACAGAGAAGGAAGCCAGGTCCCCTGGCTGTATGTGGATGGGGGATCTGGGTGGCTCTAGTATCTGCCAGCAGGAGAGGCTGCCAGACTGGAAAGGGAATCAAGGAAGGCTTCCTGGAGAAGGCGCAGTGGTGGAGGAAAGGATCCCAAGGAAACCTTTGGGGCCAGTGACCCAAGAGTTCCTTTGCTCCATCGCCAAGGCTGTGGGTGTTGAGCTGACTTGGCAGCAACAGCAGCAGGGCTTCAGGGCTGGATATGAAGGAGTGTTGTCGAACTCCAAAAGGACAAGAGAGACCACATGGGAATCAGGAGGATTTATTAGGTGTACACCTGACCCAGCTGAACTGGTGGGTTCCAAAGTGCTGGGTGAGTGAACAAAGGACAGTCCCAGGTGTTACACATAGTCAAAGGGGGCTGGTCTTTCTAGTGATGCAGTGAGTTTACTGGAGCAGGACAGGACAGTTTAGTAATTCAGCCTTGTAAGAAGACAGTGCCTTATGAATCGTATGGGAACAGAGGGGCATAAACTTTGTTAACAGAGGAAATAGGGATGATGGTGGACACCTGTAATCCCAGCACTTGTGAAGCCGAGGCAGGAGGATCACTGTAAGTTCAAGGCCAGCCTGGGTTACACAGTGAGTTCAAGGACAACCTGAATTACATAGTGAGATCCTGTCTCAAAAACAAAAAACAAACAAAAGGATTCCTCTTGTCCTTTCCCCTTTGTACTTAAACATTTTCAAATAGATGTCTTAGAACTTGATCAGAGGCAATGAACAAGGCGACCTGCGGCTTGTGAAGGACCAGGTGAAGGACCAGGGCTGGCCAGGTTGCTGTCAGCCTGACTCACCTCCTGGTGCTGCTGTCCTCTGGGTTCCCTTTGCTGGGGCCCAGAGGTTCAGCAGTCGGGGCCTTGGTGATGAATGTCAGAAGCCTGGCTGCTGGGATGGGGGAAGCTGTGGAGGGCCAGGGCCCGGCCGACTTGGGGTGACACTCACGTAGGCCAGGCGGAGTGGGATCCCCGGGGCCCGGAGCTGCAGAAGGACGTTCTTGTGGGTGACGAGGACCAGAAGCACCTCTCGAGTGTGGGTGCTGTTTGGCTTGGGTGCCTGGAGGGTCAGCTCCAGCTGTGACACAGCCTGCAGAGGGACAGGGAGACACATGCTCAGTGAGTCCCAGCGAACCCCACAAGAAGAAAAAGCTGGGATGAGTCTGAATGTCATGAAATAATCAGTCAAGATTTATTATTTCTGTTATGGATTTTTTTGGGGGGTGCTGAGACTCACTATATAGCCCAGGCGGGCCTCAAACTTGCACTAATCTTCCTGCCTCAGCCTCACAAGTGCTGGGATTACAGGTGGCGGCCACCATGGCAAGATTTATTATTTCTAGAGCATTTGGTAGGCTGAGGCAGGAGGGTTGCAATGAGTTTGAGGCCAACATGGGCTACATAGGGAGACCCTGCCTCAAAAAACAAAAGACAAAAAATACTCTTGTAGTTTGCACTATTCCTCTTTGTCTATTTTAGAGTACTAAAATGCTGGTATCTTTGTCAGTATTACTATTATTTTCATGTAGGAATATGAAATTGAATTCATTTGTTTTGAAATGTACCCACTCCATTCAAAATTATTTTTTTTACTGCTGGGATTAAACCCAGGTCCTCATACATGCTAAGGCTGTCGCATACCACTGAGCTGTGCTGTCAGCTGCATTACAAATTGTAATTGATGAGTGCTGTATGCAATTAGAATGTTTCCCTAACAACAGCAATAATAATACACAATGCATACCCATGGCTTTGTCTATGCCAGGACCGTGTAAGGGCTTTGCACATTAACTCATTTAATCCTTGAGACAACACCAAGGGGTAGGCCGTCGTCATCATTATTGTTATTATTTTGGTTTTTTGAGACAGGGTCTCGCTATGTAGTTCAGCTGGCCTTGAACTCACTATGTAGCCCAGGCAGGCCTTGAACTTAAAACGATCCTCCTGCTTCAGCCTCCTGAGTGCTGGGATTACAGGTGTGCACCACTATACCTGGCTGGTTTCATTATTGTTCTCACTTACAGATGAGGAAACTGAGCACAGCGAGGTGAGGTCACTGGCCCACAGTCACACAGCAAGTGAAGGGCCGGGATTTGGACCCTCAGTGCCTGTACCGCCAGGCCACACCTCTCCACATCTTATTGTGAAGACGAGAAAAATGACAGTGATCCATGGTGCGAAGCCTCTGTGCAGACCACAACCTCTGCGCCAGGACTTTCTGGGAAGTGTGGTGATGACTCACAGGGACAAAGACAAATGGGAGCTTCCCTGAGGAGGGACCACAGGGCTCCTCTGAGCTGTCAGAGGGAGAAGCCCCAGGAGACAGAGGGAGCAGTGGAAAGTTTTTGGATTTTGCTTCTAATCTCCTGGCTGATGTCACAGAGCCAGAGACAGAGTTTACAGCCCTGGAAAAATGTGCTCAGAAACATTTCCGTGACTCAGTGCGGACACTAGGACCCCTGCATGTGTGAGGTCGCTCTTTAAAGCAAACACAAAGAGCAAACAATGTTACTCCATTTTTAGGGTTCCACGGATTTGTTTTCCATTTTAGAGTGGTCTTTAGGTTATGAATCTTAAATAGTCTTGTGCTAATTTATAGCAGAAGATTTTCAAATTGACATATGTGTATGTTCACGTTACTGTTTTCTAGTGATTTTCAAAGTATTTTGTTTTGTTGATTTTTTTTTTTTTTGTACTGCGGATTGAGCTTGGGACCTTGTGCTTTCGAGGCAGGCGGTGGAACCACTGAGCTAAATCCCCAGCCCTGTGTTTTGTTGATTAAAAAAAAAATACTATGAATTCTAAACACTTTGAAAAATAAATGCTGGCCTTTTTTGGGTGATGGTGTATCAGGACAGATCCAGCCCTGCCAGGGACCTCGGATCTCATTGTCCTCAGTGTATTTCCAGCGCTTTCTCCCCACCTCCACACCCCCCAGTAAAATGATGTGCCCCCCAATATTAAATGCTGGCCTAGTGGGGGGCACATGCCTGTAATCCCAGGACTGTAGGAGGGTGAGACAGAAAGATTGCAAGTTTGAGCCGAGCCTGGGCTGTTGACTTAGCAAGACCCTGTCTTGAAATACAAAATAAAAAGGGCTGGAGATGTAGGTCAGTGAGAAGGCCCTAGGTTCAATCCCCAGTAGCAAAAACAAACAAACTAAAAAACACCTCCCAAAACAAAAAACCAAAAAAGCAAGGATGTGATACCATGTTTTGATTTTTGAGCTTTGCTTTCTTCTTTTTCCAGTACTGGGGGTTGCAGGGATGCTCTACCACTGAGCTACATCCCAGCCCTTTTTATTAACTTTGAAAATTTTGAGACAGTGTCATGCTAAATTGCCCCAATTGATCTCAAATTTGAGATCTTTCTGCCTTAGCCTCCAAGCAGCTGGGATCACAAATGTGCACCACTGCACCCAGCTCTGTATTTTGATAAAATACAAGATACACATGTCTTGTTCCAGGGTGTGATCACTGCCTGTAACTGACCAGAGCAAAAAGTGACCCACCCAGGCGGTGCTGGGAAAGGCCTGGGCCCAGTATGTCTTCCAGCCTCATTGAGAATGGACCCATCTGGCCACCTTACCCTGAGCCCCTGTGTCTATCAGCTCAAAGAATCAAATGCTTGCACAACTCTGAGTATATATCAAAACCACTCAACTGTACAGTTTCTTCTTTTGTTGTTGTTTGTTTCTGAGACAGAGTCTCTAATGTACATAGTTTAGGCTGGCCTTGAACTCACTATGTATCCTAGGACGGCCTTGAGCTTGCATTGATCCTCCTGCCTCAGCCTCCTGAGTGCTGGGATCACAGGCATGCGCTACCATGCCCAGCTCAATAGTGCACTTTCTTTCTTTCTTTCTTTTTTTTTTTTTGGTACCAGCGATCGAACTCAGGACCTTGCGCTTCCAAGGCAGGCGCAGTGCCACTGAGCTAAATCCTTGGCCCAATAGTGCACTTTCAATGGGCAAATTTTACTTCAATAAAGCTGCTTTCAAAACAAGTGAGCACCAGTAATTTCTCACGGTTCACCTTAATCGGCACCTGGCCCTGTTCTGAGCTTGGACACCCGTCGGTGACCAAAGTGGAGCCCCAGCCCCTGCCCAGATGGGCAGCCCTCCTGGACCACGTCGCCTTCTCAATCCTGCTTCTCCCTCAACTTCCCCCAGATCCACCTGTCTGTCCCTGCTGGAGAGAGAACATCAAGGTGCAGGTGTGGTAACAGATAGGCCCTGTGCTTTGGTGATGGCAGCCAGGAGACCTGTCTTGTGCCTCTTGGTGGCACCACAGGCTGCAGGAGCTCTGAGCCTCAAGGAGAGAGCCCTGGGAGCCTACATCTTGCTGCTGGCCCTCCACCTCTATGCCTCAGTTTCCTCATCTGTGAAATGGCGGTAGGATAGGGTGGAGGAACCAACACCCAGTGGGGCCCTGGCTACAGGAAGTGACGAAAAGGAAGTGGAGGTCAGGGCCCAGTCACACTGTGGTCAGGGGTTAGGAGGACAGGGCTTTGTCACATTTGTCATGGGACTCGACTCTTCTTTCAGAGCTCGTAAACCAAACCCACTACTCCACTGTCACCAAGTCCTTCCCTGGACAGTTGGGGACTGGAGGGCTGAGGCCAAAGAGGACCAAAGAGGCAGTCACTGCTCAGGTCATGGCGCAGTAACAGAGCAGCCAGGGAGGCTGGAAAATGGGGGTTTTGGGGGTGTAGCATTCCCAAATGCCCAGTGGAGCTTCCCACAGCAGGCCTGTCCCTCCCCACAGCCCTGAGTCACCGGTGGCCACTCACATGCATGCCCCCGGCCCTCGTCCTGCTGTCACCCGGCCCCGGTCCCCGCTTCCGGGATCCCGGGGCCCAGGCAGGCAGCAGAGCAGCAGCCCCTCATCCCCAGCCCTGCCAGCCGGGGCCTGCCTGTCCCTCCCCGAGCGGGTGGGCGGGAGGCCAAGTTGCTATTTTCGTGGCAGTGTTGCACAGACGCCGTTGTCGGCCAAGCTGTAGGTGACGGGAAGGGGATTTCGGTGAGGAGGTCCTGAGCCCGAGCAGTGGCCACTTATAGAAAGCTGCTTCCAGCAATTCTTCTCGGCACAGAGCCTCGGGGCTGCCTGCAGCCCCCACCCTCTCAGGGCCAGCTGTGCCTCTGTTCCCCCAGCACACACAGACAGTGCCTACAGGAAGGGCGGCCAGGGAAAGGGGTCAGAGCCAGACAGACCTGAGTTTAAATGAGGGCTCTGTCGTTAGCCCGTGACCCTAGACAGACAGCCCTCCTTGCTGGGCCTCAGTTTCCAGATCTGGAAAATGGGCTGAACATTTCACAGACTTGTGCTTGTGCCTCAAAGTAGGTTGCCCAGTGCCCAGCTGAATGCAGTTGGCTCTGTATTCATGGCTTATACTTCTGTAAATGTGACCAACCAGGGATTGAATATTTTTGTTTGTTTGTTTGTTTTTTTGGGTACTGGGGATCCAACTCGGGTCCTTGCGCTTGCATAGCAGGCGGCAAAACCACTGAGCTAAATCCCCAGCCCCAATTGAATTTTTTTTTAAGAGACAAGGACTTGCTATATTATCCAGATTGGCCCTGAGCTCCTGGCCTCAATAGATTCTCCTGCCTCAGCCTCCTACGTAGCTGAGACTACAGGTACATGCCACCATTCCTATCCTGAAATAAATAAATATATTCTTTGTTTTTTGAAACTGAGTCTTGCTATGTAGTTTAGGCTGCCCTTGAACTCACTATGAACTCACTATGTAGTCCAGGCTGGCCTTGAACTTTTGGTGATAGTCCTGCCTCAGCCTCCCAGATGCTGGGATTACATGCATGTGCCACCATGCCCAGCCTGAAATATATTTTTTAAATTGCATTTGTACTGAACACTCAAAGCCTTTTTTTTTCTTGTCATAACTTGTGACATTTGCATTAGGTTAGGTATTATGAGTAATCTAGAGATGTTTTAATTTTTTTTTTTTTTTTTTGGTACTGGGGATCAAACTCAGGTCCTTATGCTTGCGAGGCAAGCGGTGGACCCACTGAGCTAAATCCCCAGCCCGAGATGTTTTAAAGTATAGAAGAGGACTGGGTAGGTTCTATGCCAATGCTGCACCTTTGTGTGTAAGGAACTTGGAGCATCTGTGGATTTGGGTAACCTTGGAGAGCTCCTGTACCCAAGGCCCCAGGACACCGAGGGACAACAGTAGGTGGCAGTAGCTGGCACACCCATCTGGAGGAATAGGAGGGTTCACGTTGGACAGCAGTGACAAAGGCTGAGACGCCACCTGTCCCTCCCCTTTCTCCCATCTGTGCCAGGGAACCAGGCTCAGTGGCCTTCAAGGACTGGGTGGTCCCGCATTCCAACTGCCTGGTGGGGAGTCTCAGCCTCCAGCTTCTGAGAGTCCTGGTGTGCAGCCAGGTAACTCGGAGGGGGCTCCCAGGGCCCCTGGAGAAAGTTGTTCCCGCTACCAGTGAGGGGCCCTGCTCCCCCAAGCTTTCCCTGCTGCCCAACTCATTTGCCTGCCCAGGGCCTCTCAAAGAGGGACGGCAGAAGGCGCAACTCTGTCCTTGGGTGCTTGTTATAGAACAAAGGCGACCTGACCCCTCCAAATGACAGACAGGCAGCAGTGACTCCACCAACCTCACTGGGAGCTCGATCAGCAAATGCTGATGTCATGACTTCTCCTCCCTCCCTCCTCTTACCCATCTATCCATCATCCACTCATCCTCCATCCAGTACATAACTAGCCATCCTGCAGCTGCCTCGGAGAGGAACACTGGGGATACAGTGAGACAGACACAGTCTCTGCCCAGCCTCTCTACCCCTTGACCTAAGACCCCTCACTAAGCATGCTGTTCACACTTGCGAGGCCTGGGACAAGAACACAATGACAGCCCTGGCCCCAGTCCTCCTCACCCTGTCTATTGTTTTCCCCTTTGAGATAAGGTCTATGTTGCCCAGGCTGGACTAGTACTCAAGATTCTCCTGCCTCAGCCTCCTAAGTGCTGGGATTACAGTCAAGTGCAACCACACCTGGCTCACCCTGCTTTTGACAGCACAGCAGTGTCCTCATGGGTCCTCCACTGGCTGCCCAGCCCAGATGCCCAAGCGCTGCCATGCCTGCCCCCAAACAGCCGGCTCCACCACCCTTCAAGTGTAGGGGAGCACATGTTGGCCAGGCAGTGCCCCCTCTGGAGGATGGAACAAGATGGAGTCCAATGTGGCCTGGAGGAGGCTCAGGGCCACTGTCAAAGAATTCAGGGGTCGTGGGCACCCACAGCAAGGGCTAAAGCAGAGGGGAAGGCTCCAGGCAGGCACATCTGTTCAGCCCTGAGAGCTCCCCATCCTGGAGAGGGATACAACTAAAAGAGGGCCCTTGCCCAGGTCTGAGGGCCCTGCCTCTGGGATGGTCTGAGGGAGCTCAGGGTCCCTCCTGGGTCCCTCTTAGGCCTCCAGCAGTCTTGCCTGCCCCTCTGGCCACACATGAGTCAGTGCCAGACTCTGGCCAGGGTGGATGTCTTCACTCCCTGTTTGCACAGAAGTGGGGTGAATCAGCCGCTGACCCAGCTCTGCCCCAACCTGGGGTTTGTTAGGAAGACAGTGGATCAGCGCGGCGGCTGACGGGAACCGCTGAGACACCGGGCGGCTTCCTGTCTCCTGGGTCAGGATGTGACCCTGGCCCCTCCCGGAATCCAGGCTCCGGCCTGCCCTTCGGGGACCCATTGAGATAAAGCCCCTGCCCAGCGGTCCCTTGCCTGCCCGGTGACCACACGCACACGCACACGCATACACACCTGCTGAGTGTTGCTTCCCCGGGGCTCTTGGCTGCCACCCACAGGAAACCTGAAGGCTCTGGGGCCACCAGGGGGTGGGCGGGAAAGCCACTGCTCAGTGCCAGGGCCTGACGAAGGCGGCCACAGGTCAGGCGGGACGGGACAGGCTGCGAGATGGCCCCCCAGGCCTCTGTCTCCAGGCGGTGCACACTCAGTGCCCTCTGCCAGCAACGTCCGCCACGCGCTCTCTGGCTAGACATTGAAACCTCTTGCCAGTGTCCCTTCCCCCACGTCCAGTGCTTCTCCTCTCATCACCTACAGCCCCCTGCTCCCCCGCCCCATGTCCACCCCTCCACTGAACTCTAGGGCTGCTGCTGCCCACCTCCCTGGCCTGTCGATGGCTCAAGGGCAGGGCCTGCCTCTACTTCCTCTCTGCATCACCACAGGCAGGCACAGACTTGTCGAGGGCTGGCAGAGGGGGACTGTTGGGGCACAGGCTCCTCATGATCACATCTAGTGTTGGCCAGGGTCACGGGCACAGCCCTTCGCATCCGAGGCTGGGAGCTCCAGGGACAGCCGGGCTCCATGAGGCTAGACTTCACCTAGCCACTCTGAAAATGGATTCACACCCCTCCTCCTCTACCTGTAGTGATCACTTCTGAACCTCACGTGAAGCCAGGCATGATGGCACACACCTATAATCCCAGCACTTGGGAGGCTGAGGCAGGAGGATCAACACAAGCTTGAGGCCACCCTGAACTACATAGCTAGGGCCTATCTCAGAAAACCAAATAAATAAAAAATTGAAACGCAAATGAATTGGCAGATATGAGGCTGTTCTGTGAACTGTACCATGCCTCCCACAATGAAGGTATTTATGATGAGAAATGGAACCCAAAGAGGAGGAATAGCAGTGACAACAGCCATGGCTGCCATATATCAAGCAAACAGTGGCTCTCGGCAGGCCCTGTGCTTGATATTTTGCCTGCGCTGTCCAGCTGGATTCGCACAGTGTCTCTGTGAGGTAGGAACTATTATCATCATCTCCATGTTTCTGGGGGTGGGGTGGGGGAAGACAAAGGCAAGGAAAGATGGCCCAAGGCCATGCAGCCAGAAGAGCTTAGGCCAAGGCCAACTGGAGGACCATGGCTCCGGCACCGTGTGTGTGTGCGTGTGTTTGTGTTTGTGTGTGTGTGTGTGTGTGTGTGTGTGTGATTCTGTCTCAGCCTACTGAGTAGCAGGGACGACAAAGGTGCACCATAGTGCCCAGCCAGAACCTGTGTTCCTAGCCCCAGTGACCACACTGTCCCCAGATAAAAGACCGAGCCCCCTAGCAGGGCGACAGATCTTTCCCGTCTCCCCAGCCCCACTTGGAGGTGAGCAGCCGGCTCCTGGGGTCCCCTGAGCACAGCCATTCTCCCACTGTCTGCCTCTGCTCCTCCCACTGCCTCTGCACCCCATGAGCTCCTGGCCACCCTCCATGGCTGCTTCCCCCAGGAAGCCCTGCCGGATTCGGTGGCAGCTGGAGTCCCCCGCCCTGTGCTCCCTGCAGATGCACCGGTTTCCTGGGACCCAGCTGGTTGTCCCCACACCCATCTCTCTCCCCCACCCCGCCCGGGCCTGAACCTCTGGCTGGGACCTTCTCTGTCCCCTGCCAGCTGTGAAGTGATCAGGCTCAGGGATCCCAGTCACCCAGAAGAGACACAAGGAACCCCAACATAGGAGCAAATAAAACAAATGTACAGAGAACAATCACACTTTCCATATCATTACCAAATTTGCAAAAAAGTTACAATGCCTTTGACAACCACACAAAACGTGTCTGGTACTATCTCTGGTTTGGAGATTATCGAAGCCCACAGTCCTCCTGGCTGGCAGGGTGGCGGGGAGCAGCGACCCCGATATTGGTGATCTGAGCACCTTCTTATCACCACACAAGTGCAAGACATCTCAACAGTTTAGGGGCCAGGCTGGCCATGAGCTTACCCTGTGCCACACACTGCTAAATTGCTATTAGGACCTAAGGCCAATCACGCCGCCTGACTCAGATCCACCGGATCGCAGGGACAGATTGGTCTTGAGATGGTCTCTCTGGCTTTCACAGAGAAAGAAGCAGTGGGAGCCCCACCCTTGGGGGTGCACAGATGCCAAGTCCCCTGGGCTGCCATCCACCCAGCCTCCCACCAGGCACTCGTCAAATCCACCCCTTTCCACCTGGGTCGTGCGGTGGCCTGCAAAACCTGCCCCTGCGCTGGAAATGCTGCCCCTTGGCTGTGGGAGAGGCCCCATGGGTTCCTTGTCAGGGGCCCCAGGAAGGACAGGGTCACTGCCCTGTACGGCCACCAGGAAGGCATCGATCATCCTTCTGGGAGCTGCTTCTGGGCCCTTCCAGACCCTGCCGGGGCCACTCACATTCGGGAACTCCAGGAAGAGGACGTGGACTTCTCGGGTGCCATCAGGAGTCTGCACCGAGCAGCCCTCTTCGACCTGGCTGGTGGCATACGTCACCTCTCCTCTATGGAGCTCCACAGGCTGTAAGTCACAGTAGACATTTTCTGCAAGACCTGTTGGAGAAGCAGAATGGGAAAGAGGCCAGATGTGAGGCTGAAGATGTCACTCAGTGGCGAAGCACTCAGCTAGCATGTGCGAGGCCCTGGGTTTCATCCCCAGCAACCGGGAGAAGAAAAAGAAGCAGCCAAGTGACAATTACTCCCATTTCCTGAAGGTCTGCTAGGTACTTGGCATGGACTCAGGGCTTTACTGAGTCTTCACAGCTCCCCTAAGAGGTGGGCGTCGTGGTTTCCAGTCACTAGATGAAGACACTGATGCTCTCAGTGGAGAAGTCTGTTGCCCAAGGTCACAGTGCTACCAGGTCTAAGGTCGACAGATACAACACAGGACACGATTACATTTTAATTTCAGATAAACAACAAATCATAGGTGCTTTGTTTTGTTTTTTGAGAAAAAGTCTTGCCAAGTATTCCAGGCTGGGCTTCAACTCACTATGTGGCCCAGACTGGCCTCGAACTCAGCAATCCTCCTGCCTCAGCCTCCCGAGTGCTGGGATCACAGGCATGTACCACCATACCTGGCAACAATAAATAATTTTTAAAAGTATAAGTATATCCCAAATAATGCCTGGAATATACTTATACTACAAAAACTTTCATTGCTTATCTGCAATTCAACTTTAACTGGGCATCCTCTGTCTTTGCCGCACCTGGTAACCCAATACTCAGGGCCCACATTCGAACCTGAGAATCATGGCCAGCTCAACCTCAGAGAAGGCGGGAGCTGAAGTCAGGGGACAAAACTTTCCCTCCTGACCCTCACAGTGGCCCTGGAGGAGTGGTTCCCGAGAGGGTCCAGAGTTTCCTGGCCCTGGGGACAGGGTGAGCAAGAGGGCAGCCCAGGCTGGAAAGCCACTGTCCCCAGCCTAGGCCTCAGCGCCTGTGGCTGGGCGGCCCGGAAACGCAGGTCCTGAGGGAGAGGAATGGAATTTCACCCTGACCCCAAAGAGGAGGAAAAGGAAATGAGGCCCCTACACCTCTCCCAAGGAATGTGCTGCTGGAAGGGGGGCGGTGGAGGAGGGAAGGAGGACAGAGAAGGGGAGACTGTTTGGAAGTTTGTGTCTCCATCTTGTCGCGCTTACTTCCTGTTTTCTTGGAGATCAAAGATGGGCGCGCGCGGAGGGACTGCCTCACATCCAGCTGACGCCAGCTCCAAGGAGGGGGGCTATCTGCAGCCTGCCCGGCCTCCTCCTTCCCCACCTTTCCACAGCTTGCTGGCCTCAGAGCCAGGAGGTCAGACAAGATGGAGGATGGCCGCCCTTCCCCATCACGGAAGAAGACTGGGCAAGGACATTTGGCCACTGTGGAGCCAAGGACTTTGGAGGGGGGCAGGGTCTCCCTGTGTAGCTCAGGCTGGCCTGGAGCTCACAGCCTCCTGAATGCTGGGATTACATTGTGCACCACAGTGCCCGGCTTTCCAGACCTTCTAAATCCTCGTTCTGGCCCTAACCTGAGTGTGCTGGGCACTCCAGAGTGCCTGGGCAGTATGACAAGATGGCTCAAATCAAGGCCCTTGGAGTTAGGTTGACTTGGCTTTGACTCTCAGGCCCCATTTGCTACACAGATTTACCGAGTGATTTCACCACACAGCTTTGGTTTCCTGGTTTGCAAATGACAGTAAGAATGGAACCCACCCAACCATACAGTATGCTGGGGAAGCCCCATAAGGTACGGCACATGGCAGTTCTTTTAATTACATTTATTTTTGCTGGGCATGGTGGCTTATGCCTGTAATCTGAGCACTTGGGTGGCTGAAGCAGGAAGGTCGCCGTGAGTTTGAGGCCAGCCTGGGCTGCATAGTGAGTTCAAAGCCAGCCTAGAGCACACAGCAGGACCCTGTCTCAAAATTAAAAACAAGACAATTGCATTTATTTTACCAGCTACAATCACTGTAGGAGCACTGACCGTGCAAGGGGTGGGCTGTGTAGTTGGCACCTGCAGCCTCCAGGACAGGGTCCTCTGGGACAGGGTCCTCCGGGCGCCAGGTCTCTGGGCTCTCCCTCACCCCAGCAGACTCACAGCCCACGCCCTCTCCTGCCATCTCATCCCCTTCTGACCCCCCAGCTCCCAGCTCTAGTCCAAGCCCCTCCTATACAGAGGGGAGACTGAGGCTCTGAGAAGTAGGATTTGGGGACCACACAGCACCTGGGCACCAGGCTGGGCCTTGCCCCGTCTCCCGCCCTGCCGGGGATCTGGCCTGTAGATCAACACAGTGCCTCCCACCTCTCCTTCCCTCTGGTCCTTCCCTGCCCCTCCCCAGACTTCCAGGAACCCCAGTTCCTCCTGGACTGCCGGGGCCGCCTGGGGCCACCTCCTCCATGCCGTCAGCCTGGCCATTATGTAATGATCAGATAACAGGCCTGGCTGGGAGATCAGATAAGAGGTCCATTTATTTTGGGGCCTTTTCGGATCCTGGCTGCCCCCACCCCGCAGACTAGAATGGGGAGACAGGCGGGAGGGTGACGCCGGGCCCGTCTCCCGGAGCCCAGACCAGCTGAAAACAATCCCCTGGCACCAAGGGAAACTCCGAGGCCTCCCGGGACCGGACCTGGTCAGAGGCGGCGCCGGCACCGCCACCAGGAGCCTGGGTGACTGGGCCTCTAGGTCGAGACCCCAGGGCCACCTCCCACTGATAGAGGGGAAATAATATAACTCCAACCTGCTAGATGTCAGATATGCTGTGTTTCCCAAAATTGGAGAATGAATTCTAAGGAACAACAGAAGTTAAGAACAGGAAAATGTTACCGAGAGATAGCCCCTGAGAGACAGGAGGGGATCTAAAAGTGGGCTGCCAGTGAGTCCACTCCTCAAAGGAAGTTTTATAGAGCAAAATCACGAGGTGGGTACAAGGTGGATCAAAGCTACGATCAACCAATAAGATCACAAGTACAACCACTTAGGTAACACGGATCCCGTGGGGAAGCAGGTCACGTAGCAAGTGTGCATGGAATGAACAGACCTGTTTTACGAAGGGATGGATTAGGAGGTCCTGGTCACCCACCTGGGTGACTGACATCTATCTAGACTTTATCGGACCAGGCGATACCTCTCATCATATCCCCTGGGGAGGAACGTAGGCCTGGTCATTCTGTCTTTATCTTGAGGCCAGGCCATCTGCCTTGACTCCCTGTCTGACTGCCTATATTTCTACCCAACTTAGCTGTCTATTATACTTCTAGAACCACACACTCTCAGATGTGTTGTTTTGATTCGTCTGTGGTCTGCATGGTGAGTTTTTCCAGGACAGGTCACTCAGCCCAGGCTCAGGCTGGCACAAGGACACATTTGTGAAATCAGCTTGTTAGGCCTGCCTCTGACTTGCATCAAACCCTTCCACCGTTCTGGGACTCAGTTTCCCTGTGGGTACTGGGTAGGAGGAGAAGGGGATGGATGGGACACGCTCCACTTTCCCCTGGGGACATTCTGAAGCTCCAGCTGGGGACAAAGGCAGGGAGAGGGCAGGGGATTCACTTGGCTCCCCAGGGCAGGGGACAGGTCCCAGGTGAGAAGTCAGGCAGCCTGAAGATGCTCATCACCACCCTGGGACCGGACAGCGCAGTGGTTGGCCCCAGGGCTGAAGCCCCAGCTGCCCATTTCTGGGTCATTACTCTGCAACACCTCTCACCTGCCTGTGTCCCCATCTGTAAAATGGGGTGCGGGAACTTCTGTTCCCAGGGCTTTGTGAGGGCTAAGTCTGCTGGGACAAATGACCCGCTCCCCGTGGCAGCACTGGCACATGGTAGACGCTCAGTGCCAGTGAATGTTCCCATCCCACCAGATGCTGAGGCCAGCTCAGTCCGAGATGGGTGGGGGTCAGACGGGGCCACCAGCTCTCCAGTCTCCAGCAAGGAAAAGAAGTGGGGCTTGGAGGCAGGCAGCCTGGGGTTGGAATCTGGACTGTCACTTGTCCTGGACTTCGACGATGACCTTATCTCTAAGCTGGGCCTGATGCACCAGACCAGAAGTGAGAGGGAATCTTTTTTTGGGGGGTACCAGGAGTCAAACTCAAGACCTTGTGCTTGCCAGGCAGGCGAGATGCCACTGAGCTAAATCCCCAGCCCAAGAGAGGGAATCTTAATGGTCCGGCCTGCCTGGTCCCCAGGACCTCTCCTCTCCTCTCCATCCTTTTTCCTCCTGGCCAGTGGGAAGCTGCCCCGAATACGGTCTGGAAGAGGTGGCGATTTGAGGTCCTAGCCCGTGTCACCAGCCCCCTTTCCAGCAAAGCCTGGATCCCCCGTCGGTAGTTGGCAGCACGGGGGGCCCAGGCCACCCTGTGCCTCATCCACACTTCAATCCCAGCCATTCAGCTTGGCCATGAGCCCCAACACCCCTACTTCTGGGACTCTCTTCTAATGAAATAAAGCAAGATCCAGGAAAGGTGCAGGTACCAAAAACGTGCGTGGAGGTGGTGTTTATAACCAGAACAAAAGGGAAACTGCCTAAATATCTGACAGCGAGGGACTCAGTGGGGAAATGACGGCACGTGGAAGGGACAGAATATTCCAGAACTGCCATGGGATGGTCAAGGGCTCCACCCAACAACACGGAAACAGTTGGGGACACAGAGGGCACGTAAGACCCCCAAATATTGATCTGCCTGGATAAAAATTACCTTAAAAATGAACTCAAAGGGGGCCAGGGGTTTAGCTCAGTGGTTCTGCCACCTGCATTGAAAGCACAAGGTCCCAAGTTCCATCCTCGGTACCAAAAAAAAAAGAAAAAAGAACTCAACAAAGACGAGAAAGCAACCCGCCAGTAGGCTGCCTGTGCTAGGAGTTCGGAGGTCAGTTTTTTCTCTAATCTATCTTTTCCTTTCCCTTCCTCTCCTCTCCTTTCTTTTCTTTCTTTCTTTCCTGTCCCAGAGATGGATCCCAGAAACTCACCATGCCAGGCAAGCGCCCACCACTGAGCTATACCCTGGGCCTCCTCTCTTACCTATTCTCTTTAAGAAGCAGGCAGAAGCAAACACATGGTTAAACTGCTCTTTAAAAATCTCCATATGTTAATTCTTAAAAACAAAAAAAATTCCTCCATGACAGAAAAATGTGCTTTGGAAAGTCAAAGTCCCTAGGGAAAACCCCAAGCCGGAGAACCGGCACACTGGATGAACAGCCTTCCAGATCCTTCTCCATGTGTGACTGTACTGTTCATGCTCTGAGGAGTGACATGGAAGCGCTATTCGGGCTCCTGAGGGCTCACCCTAGACATCTACCTGTCAATGTGGTCAACATATGGCTTTGCCTGTCCCTTTGATCCGCACAAGACTTCCCATTGCTTTGAGAGTTGCTGCCTGGAGCCCTGGTTGACGGACATTTAGGGTGTGTCTTGGTGAGGTTTTGTTATAGGTACCTACAGCCATACATCTCTACAGAGCAGGCCAGTGCCTCTCCAGGGCTCACTGCTTAACACTGAGTGGTGGGGGCAAAAGCTATGGATACTGGTGTGGTGGTGCATGCCTGTAATCCCAGCCGTCTGAGAGGTGGAGGCAGGAGGATTTTGAGTTTGATCCCAGACCAGGCAACTTAGCGACTTACCAAGACTCTGTCTCAAAATAAAAAAATTTAAAAAGATCTGAGGATGTTCTCAGTGTGAAGGCCCTGGGTTCAATCCCCAGTACTGCAAGAAGTGAATAAATGAATGGATGAATGAATACTAGAAAAAAGGTTATGCACAAATTATAATTTGGGGAAAGTCTGCCACTCTCTGCTCCAGAAGACTGGACCCATTTTCACCCTCTCCGTCCTGTTGAGGGGTGCCTGGCTTGCTCCATCCACACTAGGGCTGGAGATCTGGGTCCTCCCCCTGTCCCAGGTCCCTTGGCTGTCCACCATGTGCCTGGGTGTCCACAGAGGGGCAGTGGGCCTGCTGACTCCTCGCATCTGTGGTCACAGATGTGCTGGGACCTGCTCCCATTCGCTCCCAAGAGCAGGTGCACCCATTTCCCGTTTTTTCCAAGTGGTCGTTCACTGTGGCTGTTACGATGATTATTCTGGGGTTTTTGAGACAGGGTCTCCCTATGTAGCCCAGGCGGGCCTCGAACTCACCAATGTGCCTGGCTCAATATGGCTATTATTAACTCAACCCTTCAAGGTTACAATGAAATAAAGTGTCTATTTTTTTACAAACATAATATTGATCAAGCCGGGTGTGGTGGCACATGCCTCTAATCCTAGCACTCAGGAGGCGGAGGCAGGAGGATTGCCCAGTTTGAGGCCAGCCTGGGCTACATAGTGAGTTCAGGGCCAGCCTGACCTACATAGTGAGACTCTGTCTCAACAAACCAAACCAAAGCAAAACAAAAAGATGGAATCTCTCTGCTTCCCAATCCCTTTGTTTACTCTCACCCATGCCCTTGAGGTCCCCCAGACCCATGAGGTACCCTGTGGCACGGTGCTCGGCATCCCACATCCCAGGTGGTTCAACACCCCAGGTGGTTCACTGGTCGGTTGGGTTAGGTTGAGGGAATATTCCGGCAAACAACAATCATCAGAAATCAAGTCCTTGCCTCTACTTCTCCATTGTTAAGTATTTACTGGTCATAGTTGTCTCCCCACCACCACCCCGTACTGGGGATTGAACCCAGGACCTTTGCACAGAGCTAAATCCCCAGCCTGCCTGTCTGCCTTTCTTTCTTTCTGCCTGTCTGCCTTTCTTTCTTTCTTTCCTTTTCTTTCTTTCTTTCTTTCTTTCTTTCTCTCTCTCTCTCTCTCCCCCCCTTCCTTCCTTCCTTCCTTCCTTCCTTCCTTCCTTCCTTCCTTCCTTTCCAGTTTAAGACAGAATCTCACTAAGTTGCTAAATTGCCCAGGTTGGGCTTGAATTTGGCAATCCTCCTGGCTCAGCTTCCCATACCACTGGGACTACAGGAGAGTGCCACCGCGTCCAGCATCACAGCCTTTTAGTATATGTGCTCCCGAAGCAAGCACGTCACAGCCTTTTAAAGTCTCTAATCTTTGGTCTCTAAAGTCCATCACAATCTTATAAAATCAGAATCCACACATCTGCCTGGCCCCTTTGCTCCTGAGGAGAAGGAAGAGGGCCCGGAGGTGCGTCTAGGAGGCCAGGTGGGGCCCTGACCCTGGGTGTGAGCTCGGGTGGTAGGGCCTCTGTGTTCCCATCTTCAAAATGGGTGACAGTGGCTGCCATCTTGGAGGGTCCCAGGGCAGGGAGAGAAGGGGCTTCTCTGTCACATGCAGTAGGAGCAATGTGGTTTGGAGCAATGTTCCAGGAGCCCAATCCCTGCTCAGTCATTCAGAGACTCCAGACTCAGTTTCTGGTCTCTTGGGAGTGTTAGAGACCAGGGATTAAGGGCTTTAACATGCTGGGCTTGGGTGTGCACTTCCGAAGCACATATACTGAAATGCTGGGCTCGGGACCAGGGATTTAGCTCAGTGGTTCCGCTGTCTGCCTTGAAAGTGTAAGGTCCCGAGTTCGATTCCTGATACCAAAAAAAAAAAATGCTGGTCTCTCTGCTGACCCATGCCTTGAGGAAGACCCTAGGTGCACAGGTGGGTGACTGGTGTCCCCAGGATAAAGCAGAGACTTACAGTGAGTGTGGGGGTGCTGTGATCCCCCACTCCGGGAGACCCATCCTCTCGCAGTCTCAGTAGGCAGCATGGGTCAGGACCCCCTCAGAGCCCCAGGCTGGCCTATACCCTTCTTTGGGGCAGAAAAGGGGGGACAGGCAGTGCTACAGTCTTGGCCTGGTTGTGGGGGTTAGAAACAGCTCGAAGAAATTTAAAGATAGCAGCAATGCCAGCAATTGGGAGGCTGAGGCAGGAGGATCGCCATGAGTTTGAGGCCAATCTGGGCTACACCGTCAGTTCAAGTCCACCCTGAACTACAAAGCGAGACCCTGTCTCAAAATACAAAAGAAAAAGTTAAAAACCCCAGAAACCTAGTAACAAAACAACAACAGCAACTCTCTGTGCAGGCATGACCTCACTGCCAGCCTTCATTGCATCCTGAGGGGACTTTGTTAGCAGCTGTCCTTTGCTCAGAGCCCCGAAGGTGGCCCCCCAAGGTCACACTGGCAAAGGAACAAGAAGATGAGGTGGGAACAGAGTGTGCGTGGTCACAGCCCTCCTTCCCACTCATTCCTCAGGTGGGAAACTCAGGCCCACAGAGGGCAGGGAACTCCCAGGGCTGCACGGTGTTCGAGGACCCAGGCTTCCTGGAGAGAGGCGGGGGGAAAGTGGCAGGCTCGGGGTTCAGGTAAATAATCTATGCTGCTTTGCTTGAGCCTTAATGGTTAAAGTCCCACGTCTCGTGAAAGCCCTTGGTCCCAGCAGACTGGGGTGGTTGGCCACCTCTCCCCACCCAGTGCCCCGTCCCAGGCAGACCCAGGAAGGTCGGCCCCACTGGGGTCCCTGAACACACACCTGTGGGGCCGAGGCTGCAGGCGGCCAGCAGCAGGGCGAAGCCCGGGACGAGCGCGCTGCGGTCCATGCTGTGGCCCAGGACTCCGTGCGCTGGGCCTTATCCGGTGTCCAGGGGCAGGGCTTCGGGGGGGCGCCGGGGCCGGCGTGGGCTCACGCGGGGACCCGAGGGGAGCAGGCGGCCGGAGCGGCGGCGTCCCTGCTCCAGCCTTCTGGGGTGGCGGCCGAGGGGTCAGGAGAAGCGTGCGTGGGACTCAGCCGGGCCCGGGGCTGGCCGTCGGGTGCGGGGGAGAGGATGCCAGGCTCCTGTGCACGGCGGCAGGGCGATGGCCAGGCTCAGGACAGGGACGCAGATGGAGGCTGGGGTGACCGCGGGCAGCGGAGAGCTCCAGCTCATCCAGCCCGGCCCAGGGAGGCAGGAAATGCGCTTCCTTAGAGAAGGGGCCGGGCCAGGCCGCCTGCCAGGCGGGGAGAGGAAGTGCTCTCCACTTTGTCGCTGGGTGGGGGCCCCGAGGGTGGGGGAGGGCCCAGGCTGCAGGCTTGGCTCCCTGCCACCCCACCCTCCATCCAGGACCCCAAGACTGGCCACCCCCGGATGGAAGTGGTCACCCCAACAGTCCCTGGAGGGGACTTAGCAGGGCAGGAGCACTGATAAACCCTTTCGTGGGGAACACGCAGGCCCTGGGGCTCAGTGTTCACATTTTGCAGATGAGAAAGCCAAGGCCTGAGGAGGCAGGAAAACTGGTCTAGAGAGATGAGGAGTTGGGACTCACAGGTCCCCTCGGGCACTGAAGCCAACACCGTGAGCCCCACACTGGCCGGCTGGAACCTTGTTTTGCAGACAGGGAAATTTAGGCCTAAGACTGGGAAGGAAGGAACACCCCAAATCGGCACAGCAAAGAATCTGGGGCTCAGAGAGGCCAAAGGACCCCGGGTCTGCCCTCTCCAACCCTCAATGGTAGAAAGTTCTTCAGGGACAAAAGACACCCCCAGAGGAGGCCCCCTCGTGGCCCCTCTAAGGTCAGGGAGCCCTGGGTTCACCCCTGCTCTGCCTGCTCTGAGCCACCTTGTAAAGTGGGGCTCAGGGGTGCCTCCGGCTGTCATGAGATCTCCAAGGTCTGGCACTGCATTGCTGAGCCCTGGGCCTGGCCTATGGGAGACGCTCACCTATATGCTCCCCCAGCCGGGTGACCATGCTGGGACTGTTCATGCTCGCTGTGGGCACAGCAGGCACCTCTCCTGCCCCAGGGTGCTCACAGAGGGAAGCCCGAGCCCGCAGGAGGGGTGGCACACAGGCTGCCCTTGGAAGGACCTGTAGAAGGAGGGGGCAAGGAAGGCATGCCAGGCAGGGGGCCCAGCCCAGGCAGAGGCACAGACCTCTGTGGGACAGCAGGGTGTGGTGGGGACAGGAAGCCAGGACAGGCAGACTCTGGTCCTGCTCTGGGAGGGCCTTGACGTCAGGACTTCGTCCTGAGGGCCAGTGGGAGCCATGGAGGGTCCTTGAGCCGAAGGATGTGGGCAGAGCTGGGCTTTAGAGACCCACTCTTCCTGTGTGCTGTCCTGGATCACAGACGGAGAAATCAAGGCTCAGGGAGAGAGAAGGGGGGCCTCTGGAGGGAGGGGTTTGGGCTGGGCTCTTCCTGCCTTGGAGACATGGCAGGCTGTGTGGGTTGTCCTCCGGCAGCTGGCACAGGCCAGGAGGGGTCGTGTGGCTCTTTGGGTGGGGGCTGGGGGAAGGTTCGCTCCATGGGTGCATGGGGTTGGGAGGATCCCCCCTCGCTGGCAGGCCACCTTGGGAGTGGCTGCAGTGTGGAGACGAACACCAAGGTGGCTGAGTGGGGAAGAGAGGGGCTGTGGGGTTTCCAGGGCCCTGCAGCAGGGTCTGCACCGCAGGGACAGTTAAGCCAGCCCCAGGCTGCACCCTGCACCAGGGCCCGCCCTAGGCGTTCACCTTATCAACCCTGACTCCTCCCAGAAACCCCAGAGTGGCTCTGTCACACCCCCATTCCACCGAGGAGGTTTCCTGAGCTTTAAGTGACCCTGAGGCAAGTAGAGGCCCCAGTGCCACCCGACACCATGCTGGGCTCCTTCCTTGCTGCCTCCTGAGCTGAGTTTGGAGCAAGCGCATACAGTGCAGGGGCTGGGGGCCCCTCGGGTGAGGGGCTGCTGTGGAGAGGGGCTGGCGGGGTCTCTGGACAGCAACAGGGACCCCATCTACTGCTCTTCCCAAACTTCCCTCCCAGGGCCCTCCACACGGCACAGCCTGTCCCTGTCCAGGTTATAAACAGACAGGATGGCTTCTTTAGAAAGCAGCAGATGCCAGGCATGGTGATGCATGCCTGTGATCGCAGCACTTGGGCAGTGGAGGCAGGAGGATCTCTGAGAGTTCAAGGCCAACCTGAACTACATAGCAAGACCCTGTCTCAAAAAACCAAATAAGAAATGTTGAACTCGAGTTGGAAGAGGGCAGTCCGGTCTCAAATTGGAGGTAAAAGCGCCTCCCTGGTCGTCCCCAGCCTGACTCCGGCCATCGCTGCCACGGCCAGGGCAGGAGGGCCATGATCCAAAGGAACCGGAGCAGTTGAGGAAGCTGTTTATTGGCGGTCTGAGCTTTGAGAGATGGGGCACACTCACAGGTTGTGTGGTAATGAGAGCTCCCCAAACAAACGATCCGGGGGCTTTGGTTTTGTGACTTACTCTTGTGTTGAAGAGGCGGATGCAGCAATGTGTGCTCGACCACACAAAGTGGATGGGCGTGTAGTGGAACCAAAGAGAGCTGTTTCTAGAGAGGATTCAGCAAAGCCTGGTGCCCACCTAACAGTGAAGAAAATCTTTGTTGGTGGCATTAAAGAAGATATAAAATATAATTTGAGAGACTACTTTGAAAAGTATGGCAAGATTGAAACCATAAAAGTTATGGAAGACAGGCAGAGTGGGAAAAAGAGAGGATTTGCTTTTGTAACTTGAGTTCAACAATAGTTTTTTTTTTGGTACTGGGGCTCGAACTCAGGTCCTTGCGCTTGGGAGGCAGTCAGCAGAACCACTGAGCTAAATCCCCAGCCCAGGTTTTGTAACTTTTGATGATCATGACACAGTTGATAAAATTGTTGTTCAGAAATACCACACTATAGGGCTGGGGATTTAGCTCAGTGGTTCCGCCGTCTGCCTCGCAAGCACAAGGTCCAGAGTTTGATACCTGGTACCAAAAAAAAAAAAAGAAAGAAATACCACACTATTAATGGGCATAATTGTGGAGGGAATTTGGGCCATGGTGCAAGCTTTGGTGGAAGAGGAGGCTATGCTGGTGCTGGACCAGGATATGGAAAGCAAGGTGGTGGATATGGTGGTGGAGGAGGATATGATACAATGAAGGAGGAAATTTTGGTGGTGGTAGAAACTATAATGACTTTGCAAATTATAGTGGTAAACAGCAATCAAATTACGGATCGACAAAGGGGGCAGTTTTGGTGGAAGAAGCTCTGGCTCTCCCTATGGTGGTGGTTATGGATCTGGTGGTGGAAGTGGTGGATGTGGTAGCAGAAGGTTTTAACGACCAACAGAAAAGGGCTACAGTTCTTAGCAGGAGAGAGAGTGAGGAGTTGTCGGGAAAGCTGCAGGTTACTTTGAGACAGTCAGTCATCCCAAATGCATCCGAGGAACTGTGAAACTCTGCCCCAGAAGGAACGATGACCCACAGTCAGAAAAGTTACTGCAGCGTAAACAGGAAACCCTTCTGGTTCAGGACTGTCATAGCCACAGTTTGCAAAAAGCGCAGCTATTGATGAATACAATGTAGTGTCCAATAGATGTACCTTCCTGAGGTCTTTTATGTGTTGTAGCTTTTTCTTTTTCCTTCTCTTTTCATTACATCAGGTATATTGCCCTGTAAATTGTGGTAGTGGTACCAGGAATAAAAAATTAAGGAATTTTTAACTTTAAGAAAAGAGAGTGGGCCAGGGATTTAGCTCAGTGGTTCCGGTGCCTGCCTCGAAAGCTCAAGGTCCTGAGTTCGATCCCCGGTACCAAAAAAAAAAAGAGAGAGAGAGAGAGAGGGAGTGCAAGAGACTCCCGGTGGACACAAGGCATTGTCCAGAGAGAGGAAAACCTTTAAGGGCGGCCAGGGGGCCCTACAGCCCAGACTCAAGGCCTCACGGGGGACGGAAGAGCTGGGAACCTCTGGGGGTCAGGGGCTGGGGTGAGGGCTCACTTAGCTCCCACTGTGTGTCTGGTGTCCCCTCCGTGCCCAGCCATTCTGCATGTGACGCTACACACTAGGAGCCCCAGGAGGACAGGGGGTTTGATGTCCTCTACACGGATGTGGACCTGTCCAGAGCCAGAGGCCTTTCAAGGCCTTGAGATGCATTGACTGAATGTATGAGGTTCCCTGGAAGGGGAGGCAGGGATGGGGGTCTTGGGGAAACTGAGACGCAGAGAGGTAGGCTGGACTGGTTCCCCTGTCCCCAGGAAGCTCGGGGTTCAAATGGGCTTGCGGGTGGGGATAGACAGGTTAGCTGTTCGCCACCCCAAGGGACACATCCACCCTCCCACCCCAGCCCACCCCTGGCAGGTCACACACGAGAGCAGTGGAGGGAACACATCCCATGGCTCCTTCCCACAGGGTCACAGGAGACTGGTGGCTCTCTCTGCAGGCTCCTTCAGACCCAAGGTGGTCCCTATGCCCTCTCGGACACCAGGAGCCATCTGTGTCCTGCTGGGGACAGATGTTTCCAGGTGCCGCCCGTGCACATGCCAGAGACGCGTGGCGGTGAGCCAGGCCCGGGCCTGGACCCCTCGGTGGGGCAGACTCATGTCCTGCTCCTCCTCCTCCTCCTTGGGGGAAGGAAGGCTTGGAGCACGTCTGCCCTGGCCTTGAGCCACCGCAGGAATTCCAGGCGGCCCCCAGGGTCCATCAGGAGGCCCGCCGTCTCCAGCACCGGCCTGGAGCCAGGGGTTGTGGGACTCCTGCAGGCAGGGACAGGGCACTGGGCCAGGAGTCTGGGTGCCCGTCTCTGCCCCTGGCCTGTGCTGGCCAGGCCTCAGTTTCCTCATCTGCATAGCAGAGGGTTCCCTGCTGGCCTGGGGGAGCTCGAAGGGCCAGAAAAGAAGGGAGCCTCTCACCTGCCAAGTGCCACTTCCCAGCCCCTTTCATGGGCCGAGACCATCATGTCCCCATTTTACAGTGAAGGAAACCGAGGGACAGATGGGTAAGGCCTCAGGGCTGGGGAGAGGCAGAGGATAAGGCAAATCTAGGTCTGTCTTTCCTCCCGTGGCTTCCAGAACATTCCGTCTTGTTTCCCTCCCACATCCCTCGTCACCTTATCACCCTTCCTAGTTCCTCCTCAACCATCAGATGTGGGCCCAGGCCCTTCCCTTCTCGGTTGACTCTTACTCCCAAGTCAGGTTTTCTCAGGCCTTGGTGACCCCGACGTCATGTCCCAGCTCAGG